GTTTAGTAATATGTATATTTCTACAGAGACACCCTAAATAAGCAGTGGTGTTGCACAAAGTTATTAAATACTTGACAGTAACAGCTTGCATTTATGTATTACACATGATAATAAAATATAATATTCCAGAGTTTCCCCGATTATTATTACACCTGTGTTACTGTGAAAGGCAGCTCCCATTTTGCATGTTGATCGTTTGATCAAGGCTTGCGACTGACAGAAACAACCCTGCTGTATCTCACAGTTGAAATGAGATGTCAAAGTTACAATCATTTATATCTAAATATCATTAAACAATCGAAACAGCTGGTTCATGTTAACAGAGGTGGCCTAGGGGTTAAATGATACTGGCTGCATGTTCAAATCACATTAAATCGACGTAAACTTACGTTACAGAGCTGCAACATCAACGACCCGCAAGTGGCATCGTCAATCATCAAGAGCGTTTAAGCAGAATCAAATAATATTCGTCTCAAAATCCTTGGACTCACTCCCTGGTGACGGCCATGTTAGTGACTAAAAGGGCGTGGTATGTTTTATGCAGAGACGATGTAGTGGAATCTGATTGGTCAGTGTTATCTGAGGGGCGGGATTTGCTTTGTTTTGTCCTTTGTGATTGGTCCGTCCTACAGGGCGGGTAATCGGCTTGCTGTTGTCTGGCTCATAGTTAGGCAGTTACCCTGAACATCGAAGTGAAACCTTTGATGTTATATGGGGTTTATAATAAACGCATATTTATAAACATCGCTCTTTAAATATGTATCTGCACGCAAAATGGAAAGAAAAAAGTTTTCTCGGTTTTATGACAGAGAAGGGAGGAGAGATACCAGTGATTTTTTTATTGAAAAATAATGAAAAATACACTTCAGAAGACATTTATACTTTAATAGTTTAATACTTTAACACTTTAATAGTTTAACATCTACACTCACTAATCAGTTTTCTTTTATTTGGAGGCAAATAATTAAACAATTATAACACATATACAAAACAGATCAGCCATATAATAAATATAATCAAATCATTCCCATTTTATGGTATAAATTCATAATGATACTAAATTAAACACGTATTTGTTAAAAAAAATGATTACATTAAATAATGCTTATTAAATCAATAATGTTCATTCCAAACAGTTCAACATGTCATGATTTTTTTATAGAAAATTGTACTGTATACATCTTCTCTGGAGTATCTTTACGCCCCTGAAAAACCCTGGCTATAATGAATTAAACATTTGGTAAGCATTAACCTTGATCTTACATAAACGTTTGCACATCCTTTTTTTTTAATATAACGTCTGTAATATTTCATGACAGGAGACATCTTTGAACTTTAGAGTAAGCCATGGGTTATTAGGTGAGCTTTGCATATGTTGGTTGTTTAATGTGGGGTTCCGGCCCGACTGGACGCACTGCTGCAGGGGGGTTTCACCATCTCTTCCATAATCACAGCAATGGTGTGGCACAGCTCTTTCGCCTGGGAGACACGAGAGATCAAAAGTAAGAGCAATCTCATTAATCAAAACCAAAATATTAATAAGACCAGCTCTTGAAAATGACAACATGTATATATTGTATTTATCCATGACCTTTATCTACATACGAACCTGCTTTAGACTGAAGCTGACAGTCCTGGGTTGAGTTTGGCCACTAAAGCTGATCTCAACTGATGGCAGCTTGTCTTTCTTGGGACGGATTGAGCGCAAGCACTGCATGTCCTCCAGAGACATTGTCAAACATGCGTTCTGCAAAGTTTGTGATTCTTTAGTTGTGATCGGGTATGGTTAAAACACACAATTAAGATCAAAACATCATGGGAACTGAACAAGGATGTCATACCTGTGATTTGGGATCAATGATTTTGATAACATTATGGCTGACTGCGACCAGGGAGGGAGAGGGGCAGCTGCGATGACTTACTTTCTGAGCAGTGAATACATCAAATCCAAAGAAAGGCAGCAAACTGACACTTTCTGGAAAGTTGAAGAGTTTGTTTTATATGGATAAGGATGTGAAATCAATAACTGAAATGGTTTAACAGCTGTCTGGAAACATTTAGACAGATTTGTTCACTCACTGATAAAGCGAGCTTTGGCATCAAGATGGCCGAGGGGGCCTAAGGTAGAAAACTGTGCCCGTATAGTAGCAAGAAGTCTTTCGTCACTGGAGTTGAGCCGATCCATCCGGGGAAGATACTGCTTTACTTCAGAGCTGAAGATGAAAATTTATTACAAATAAATAAGTGTCAGATTTAAACCAACGATTAGAATGTCAGTCGAAATGACTGTAAGTTTCATTGAAAGGTTTAGGGATAAGAAATCACAAGGTTTGAGATATATAGAATTACTTGGAAGGTAAATCAGTCAGCCCAAGGGCAAGGTGTTGAAGAGCGGTCAACTCTGCCAACTGCTGGTAGATTGTAGAGCCGTTCATGGGCAGCAACATCCTCCCTCCCAGATAATTAGCCAAAAGCTAATAAACATAAGATGGCATCCATCATACAATACATGAAAATTATAGATATATAAAAAAGTTTAAGACTGATAAGATTTTTTAATGTTTTTGAAATAAGTCTCTTATGCTCACCAAGGCGATATTTATTTGATTAGAAATACAGTAAAAATAGCAATATTGTGAAATATATTATTACAAATTTATAATAATGTTTTATTTTAAAATATTAAAAAATGTCATTCTTTTAAAAAATCTTTTGTAGCAATATCAAATTTACAGACACCAAACTTTTGAAGAGTAGTGTATACATTTTAAGATATATACAGTGGGGAAAAAAAGTATTTAGTCAGCCACCAATTGTGCAAGTTCTCCCACTTAAAAAGACGAGAGAGGCCTGTAATTTTCATCATAGGTCATCTTGGATATTCAAAAAGTGACTTTTTTTGTACCAGCTGGTAGTGGAACTCCAGATAAAGATCATTGTTAAACTGGAGTGGCTGTTTCCAGATTATTCGATGAAAGGAGAGGGAGATGGAGCCATCATCCAGCAGGAAGTCAAACAGATACTCATCAGAGTGAATTGGGCGTGTCCCATCACCTAAAGAGAGGGATTCATGGTAAAAAACAAAAAATCAAAAACAGTGTGTGTTTATCTGAGCATAAGAGTGACTAAATATATCTTACCTCCTTTCCTAGTGGCATAGATGGAAAATTCCTTCACTTCTGCTGGATTTATGATGCCCATCTCAGTGCAAAAGTCTTGTACCACCTCAAACGCAACCTACAGAAAAGCATAATAGCACGTCATGTAGACAACACATGATCTAAATAAAATAAAAATAGAAAGAGCATCCCTCACTTACACTAAAGCTGCGAATCTTGCAGGAAAATTCGTTTCCACCAGGCAGCATGATGGGCAGCCGACGAGAGTTCCTCCCAGCCTGCATGTGATTCAGAAACCCATTTCACATGCTTTCATCTTCTCTGTTCAACATATTTTCTTTTCTCATGCGTCTTCACTTACCAAAATGGCCTCCATCTCTGAATGTGAAGGGATGTGCCTGCGTCCTCCAAAACTGAGTGACCGACTGAGATTCTTCATGCACACACTTGCCAGTTCTATATACAAATATTATATTCACAAAACCCATGCAAACACAAAAACAGCCATTATTGTACATTCAATTAGGTTCAAATGACATTCTAATCAGACTGTATAACAAAACCCACATATGACGTAATCTTGGCTCATATTGGTGGGGTTACTGAAGCAAGTCTGCACTACAAATACTGTACAAGATGTTAGGGGAATACTGTACCTTGAAACGGGTGGTTGGCATCTTGAATGATGGCCTCCAGGTGGCGGGTGCAATATGGCAGGAGAGTGTTGGAACAAGGGAAGAATCCAGTCACCAGATTGAACAAACGCCAGCCACGGGTGCAATTCTGCCTAAAAAATCAGCAAACAATATGCACATTCAAAAGTTTAGGGTCAGTAAAATTGGAGAAGTCATTAATGACTACAAAGTTCAAAAGAGCAACATTTATTTGAAATTGTTTTGTAACATTGTAAATGTCTTTACAGTCACTTTTTATCAATTTAATGTGTCCTTGCAAGTATATAAAAAACAACTTACTGACCACAAACATTTGAATGGTAGTGTACACATATTATTTACTCACTTGACTGGGTTTTTGGTAGTCTGCTTGATGACCTGACAGTAGATCTCATCCCTGAGGAACTCCTTCTCTTTTCCCAGCTGAACCAAAACAAGTTGTCATGTTATAGATGTATTCTGTAAATTCATAATACCTCTCAAAAAATATGCTGTAGATCTGGAGGGAACACTTACCTGCAAAATGAGGTTAACAAAGTCAGTCTCTGTCTGATTTTTCTTCATAGGCTGATCCAACATAAACTGCATCAAAGCTACAAAGAGATTGTTGTGTCAAATACTTGTTCTCTGGAATACTTGACTCTAATTTATATATATAATGTATTTATCAATGTGGTAAATAGCCATGTATGGTAATAAGTGGGATAATATACAGTTATTCTCTCATTCTTGCGAATAATAAACCTTTCAGGCTGGTAAAACCAAACTTGTACACATCAAATACTTTTTTGCTTCTCATTGGGGTCCTGATTTTATTTTACATGACCCACTGACTGTACATTATCCCAGGGATCCCAAAATGTATGCTGTTATAATGGATGAGTTTACAGTATTTCTATTTGTCAGTACATTAGTTCACTTACACATGAAGTTTTGAGCACCCAGACGATTGAGATCATTGTCTGAGAAAAGGATCAGTGATTCCTGAATGGGATTCTAATAAAAGCAAACAAAAACATTTAAACAAATGTATAAAATCCCAGCATGCATCGAGTGAGAGACTAAGAGATGCATACATACTGGAGTATATTCCACCATCTCGTTAAGACTTTTGTCTTTGTTTGTTCTGAAAAAAGAGAGAGAAATAAATCAATGTCAAGTGGAGTTTGTGAAGTATGATGCAAACTCCTCTGCTTTCCAGAAGATTTCACCTGTTGATAGCATCTGTGAAGAACTTCTTGGCAAACTCAGTCATGATATACTTCTGACGTTCTGATTCAGATCTCTGGATGAACCCCACTTCCACACTGTATTCACTGCCAGCCACTGAGCGGGTAACAGGGGTGTTGGAAACGGAGCCATTGACAGGCATGTTAGTGACAGGGCCATTGAGGGAAGAGCCGGTGAGTCTCATACTCTTTTTCCGCTCAAGCTGCCGCTCCATGTTGCTGCTGTGGTAGTCTGGTGGGGCACAAGGCTGAGTGACATCCACCGGAAGGATTCCAGAACGGCCCCCACTGGAACCAAACATCCATCCTGCAAAGATAAAAAACACAATAGTAAACATCTTTTAGGTTTTATGCTAAAAGTGATTTTCAATATACAAACATGTCACACTTTGTTAGTTTTTTTAATATCGTGCATAAAATGCTCCTTACTAACAAATATGTGTCCTGTGCTATTCTGACAGGCCTAATAAATTAATCTAATCGTATCCTTAGTGTATTAACAAATTAGAAAGCCTGTTTTTAACGGCCAGACATGTAAACTATTGGCTCAACCAATGGCTTTTTTTCCCCCATTTAGAATTTTTTTTGCAATTCTGTGTCGCTATGGAGATCCACAATCTGAAACTGTTTTCTCAGGTTCTCTTCTCACCATCCTTGAGGCCGTCCATGTTCAGGATTTTGATGACGTCGCCTCTGTGAAAGGACAGCAAGCTCTTGTCATCTGTCACATAGCTCTTCACAGCGATCACATAGTCTGAGTTCTGCAAATAAAGAATCAGTCAATTTTATAGCAAAGAAAATTAAGATCATTGTTTGGCACATTTTTGTGAGTGAAATTAAGAAATAATTTCATTAGGAATCCACACAATCTGGAATTTCATATTAGGACAAAAGATTTCCCCAAGCAAATTTCACAACAGGTTTAAGTTGTTCACACAAATTCGCTGCAATGACCAGCAGAAACCTGCATGATTTGAAAGTGACTTGTGTGACGATAGACAAATTATCTTTCTGCCCACGATAATTCACTAAAATTAGTGATAAGAGTGATAAGAGAACTGAATCATGCATGACAAATGTAAAATGCCCAAAAAAAAAGAGATCATGATACATAACAATAGTTAAAGTCATGGTTAAAGTCAACATGAAACCGCAACCCATTTTACTTCTGTAATGTAGTGAAAGAAATAGGAAATACATTTTTTTTTTAATATGGTGGGATTTAATCCTTTGGCAATTGTTTGGACTGTGAAAAGAAGGTTTTGCATACCAGAATGGAGCTGGCTGAAGGAGAGGGGTTGAGAAATTGAAAAAGAGTTGTTTCAGAGGCTGACCAAATTTTTTTTTTCTTATGAATAAAATGTACTGAATTGACCATTCCTTATAAGACCGTGAATGTGTATTAAGAAAGTAAATAGGGTCAGGTATGTTGACTTTAAATGAAAAAATAAAGCTACATGTGTTAAGGTTAGTATCACAAGATTTAAACTGAGCACCGTAATCAGCTCCATGAGGAAGAGATGAATCACAGCAGCGATCTGTGGTGCCTGTTGAGAGTGAAGTTCCAACTCCTCATTACTCAAAGTGATCACGACTTTTCCAGCCCCTTGCTGCTGTACTGACAAAACCTGTGAAAAACTAAACAGTAAAAAAACATATAGTTATATAAACTGCAGCCCTATAGAATATTTTATACTACTCGTCAAATGTTGGGGGTCAGTGGGGTCACATTAAATAAAATCCAAACCCCAAACATTTGAGTAATAGGATAATAAAAAATGTAAAAAGCATGCTTCAGCCAGATGTTCTGTACCTGCTGCTGTGGAGCAGTTTGAGGTGTTTGGGGTTTATGCCTGAAGCTCTGGCCACCTTCAGCAGTCTGATTCCTCTATGCGACACTCCCAGAATCTGAGCATCTCCTCCGTTCCCCACCTGTGAAGCACACATGCAAAAACATTTCTGAGTGCTTAACAAATTTCTGTATGCATGTTTCTGTGCATTATGTACGTAAGAAAAGCCAAGTATTTCACCTTCACATTAAAGAGACGTGCAAAATAATTGGACCAGTTGTCTCTTGCTGCCATGACAATTCTTTTCTTCATAGCATCATCTAGTGAACTGATACTGGTTCTGATAGGGAAGCTCGCTGGTAAGAGAAAAACAAAGAGATACAAAAAAAAAACTAGTTGTCCATAATAGTTTATCTGAATTATTATTAGACAGGTACATGGTTTCAGATTATTAAAAAACAGCATCTGTCATACCCAAAAGGTCTTTCATTTTACGCCTTTCTTCACGTGAAATCCTCGGACAAGAATCTGAGTAAGTGTCTCGCATGATCTGCAGTTTACAAAAACAGTAGACAATGTGTGGCCCAGAATATGATAAATACTAAATAATATAAAATATATTAGTTTTTGCGTTGTATACAGAACAAATGCAATGCAATGTTTGCTATGTTTGCTACTGACCTGCTCACAGAGTAAATTAAGTACGTATGGGTGGTTGAATTTTTCCCTGGGATAAAACAGCTGCGTACAAGAAAGCACAAATACAGTGAGTATACTGTACATAAGTTAGACAGAAGCAGCCGTGATAACCTTTGTAGGGGTCATGCAAAGTCACATCAAACTCTCTTGACTTAGTTACCTCCTTGCGCAGGAAGAGTTTGCCAGGCATACTGGGGTAGGAAAAGTAAACGCTGGCAGAGAATCTGTGCAATTGGGAGCGAACACTCTCCTCCTCATCCATCCTGTTGAACTGATCTTTAGAAACACATAGGATTACATTAGCAAATGCGATCTGTTTACCTTAGTATTTGAAATTTAGAGATAGAAAGCTGCACAACTTGCTTCAAATTTGCATATGTCTAACTTTAATTTATATGAATATCTCTGTGCTGCAAATTAAAGTATTTGTGATCTATTCAAATATCCTCAAGACAAGACATTTGCTTGAATTGTTTTTATCTAAAAAAAAAACACTTGGAAAATTTCTTAATAATTTTGCAGTTTTTCTATTAGACAGAAGGAAAAAATTAAGAAACATTTCCTTAATATATTTTTAAATTTCTTCATAAATTGTTATGCATTTATCTCTTACTCAAAACATAAAAAACGAATAAAAATGTTATTAGTTTCAAATACATATATACAGTACATAATACATATTTATACGTAAAAACCTTAAATTAAAATTGACAAAAATTTCCAGTTAATTTAAATCTTAATCAATTACTACATTTTCAACATCTAGAATATTTTGATTGCAGGAAGAAAACATTTATTTCTTAATCATTTTTAAAATTTCTTTAAAAATTGACAGTTTTCAACATCAGGAATATTTTGATTAGAGAAAGGGAAAAAAGAAGAAACACCTGAAATATTTCTTAACAAATTGTCAGTCTTTTATTTTAATGCATAGCACCTGGTGGCATTAGAAAAATGATAAAATCCACTCAGACCTAAAAAGTTGTGAATTATTTCATTTCACCCCATGTTCAGTTAATTGTGCTAATTATGGTTAAAGAAAACTAAGTAATATGTTTAACTATTCAGTATTTTAATATTTAACCCAATATATTATGACTAATTTGACCTACTAAGTGTACTGCATATATGTTAGAAGTGACTCATATAAATGATTTGAGAATCACTTACTAGGTCCAGGTGGAGACATCAGTGGTGGGTCGGGGATGCTGGGAGATGGAGGAGGGATGGGCTCACGAGCTCGAGGCAGAGCATGCGAACGCTGCGAGCCGAAGAGATCAGCTAGTGAATGCTGCTTCTGTTTCATATTGTTAGAGATGGCACGAGGCCCATGGGACTCAGGGGGCTGAGGAGGTGAAGGAGGCTTCTCTTCCCACTGTTTCTGCAGCACAAATAATACAGAAAAGATTCATGGTCAACTTCTGCATCCTTGACTTTGAACTTTGAGCTCAAAAAGTTTATTATGGCTTGTCACTCAGGTCGGTATCATCTACCTTCTGCTGAGTGACAGGTCCCTGAGATTTGAGAATGGCCAGCGCCTCATCTTTGGGGTCATGTTTCTTTAGAAATTGCTTGGCCGGAACCCTGTGATGATCAAAGTCCACATTATTCCTCCTCTTACAGTCTAGGAATCACTCCAAGTGAAAAGGTAATATTATGCAAGCGTTCAGTTTACAGCAGAGGCTGCATTAAGTCAGTGTGAATCACAGTTAGCAACCCATTTTACTTCCGTAGCACAACATATTTCAAAGCGAAACATGACACGTCACAAGAAAAAAAAGGGCAGGGCTTGGTTTTATCCATTGAGAATTCATTGGATCATGAAAAGTGGTCTCTAGGTGGAGCAAGGTCTTGCTTTAAAATAATTCAGGTCAATTCTTGACCCACCTGACAGGCTCGAAGACTTTAGGTTCTGGAGAGGGCCGGCTCTGGTACTGCTTGATGATCTCTCTAATTTTACTAGTAGGTTCTGGTTTAGGAGATGTCGGTTCTGGAGATTCTGGTTCTGGTTCAGGTTCTTGGATGTTAGGAGGTACTGGGAGTGGATTCACTGTGTGAAGAAGAGTTTATGAACTTCAAGACACATTATTTTGGATGATGGCTTTATATAGTAACACACTATAATCTGTGTGTTTTATGACTTGTTACATATACATATTAATGACTTGAGTTTAAATTTAAATAAAACATTTATCACAAAAACTTAGTTCTAGGTGTTGTGACAAACGTCTGACCTTCAGTCTTTACCGGTGGAGGTGATCTGGGTTGGGTCACCGGTGGAGTGGCGTATATCAGTGGTTTAGCAACCTTTGACACAGGCTTTGGGCGTGCTTCTGACGTACCTGAGATGCATAAAGATAGTGAAAATCTTTTATGCAATTTTATTTTAGCCATTTTAAGGATTTTCTTTGACAGTGTGCACTCACCAATCTTTAGAAAAAAATCCCTCTTATCTTGAAAGGATCCTTGATCTTCCTTGTGAACTAACTCTGTCTCAGGCTGTGCCTTAGAGAACAAATTAATTAATTCAGATTAAAAGTCAGAAGCGTAAACATAAAGTTATAGAAAACACAGTCACTGGTCAGTATTGTGCTTGTACCTCTGGCCTGCGGGGCTTTGGAAGGGTCTCTGAGGCTTTTTTGGGGGTCTGAGGGATGGCTCTTTCTACCTGGGGGCGGCTTCGGGGTTTGGGTGAGGGTGAGCGTGAAGGTGAACGTGCACGTGGAGGAGAGCGCCGCCGCTGACGTGGTGACTGTCTCTGTGACTCCTTTTCGCGTTTTCGCACCTCTTCCTGCTGCTGCTTCTGGGACAGTGTCATCGCCTGCATGGTCATCTGCTGAGCCTATAGGGAAAAACACAATTTTTTTTTACACATATTATAAAAAATAGATATTTAAAAAAAAAAATAAAAAAAACCCAGATTTCACCTGCTCTAAATGCATTTTGAGTGGTGGACTCACCAAAAGCAGAGCCTGCTGATTGATAAAGGCCTGTTGCTGAGCCTCCATGTGCTGTGTGTTGACAGCCGGTGCTGCAGCAGGTATGGCTTGTGGCATGGCAGTTGGCATCATCATAGCTACATCCAAAACAAGCAGTAGGAAGAGAGTAAGCATTTAACAGTTTATGCTACTGTATCAGAGATGCACAACATGAGCAGTAGGGATGCTTACATTGCATGGGTTGCATTTGTTGCATCATGGGCATAGTAGCGGGCATTATGTTTGGCATCATTGGTGTGGCAGCATAGCCAGCCATGGCAGGATTCATTGGCATTCCTAAATGATAACAGGGGAGTAAATAGTCCAGTTACAAAATAAATTCTAATGTCAGGTCCAAAATAAATGTCAGGTCTTATTTTAAATATTTAAATTAAATAAAAAAATTAAACAAATAAAAACTAAAACAAGGTATAATGTAGAATATTTTCACTGTTTGTTACAGCTTTCATTGCATATTATATATATATATATATATATATTCATATATTTATTTTTAGTTTAAATTGTTCTACTAAAACTGCCTCTATGACAAATTGCTTGTGATGTTTCTCATTTGTAAGTTGCTTTGGATAAACGGGTCTGCTAAATGGATAAATGTAAAAGTATGGTAAATATATAAATATTGTGTAAATAAAGTGTTTAAATTCAGCAATCTTGTCTACATCTTATTTGTTACCATTAAATTGTATTATATTTATCAGCATTATATTGGCCTCACTGCTCTCTAAATACCTGTATCACCATCAATCAAGCACTACACACTAATTAAACAGATATACAATCTGTACCTGCTCCGGCATACATGCTGGGCATCATGCCTCCTCCTCCTCTCATTCTACGATTCAGCATGGCCAACCTTTCAAAGTCCTACCAATAAAAAAAACAAATAAAAATGCACATAAGACCTCTGCAGGCCAGCCCTCAAAGATAAAGGGCAATACAAGTAGATCTCAGAGTTAATAAGTGCCAAAGCTATGTAATCTTTGCTGGCTTAATGAATGTTAACAATATATATGTGTAGCCTAGTGATAAGAACATGTGCACCAACATGTTGAGCTGTGCTGCCCATGCAGGTGACATGAGTTTGATTCATGACTTGTGTTCCAACTCTACAAATGTAAAACAATATATAAAAAAATGTATAAATATCAAAACATCTACAGTGGCATTTATTTTAAAGAAAGACAGCACAAGTACACTTTTCATTTATACTTCACTAAAAGAAGTTTAACAGGTTTTAAATGATAAATTAACAGATATATTGCTCAGTTGCTATAAAATAATGACTTTTTTATTCAAAGTAGCTGCCAGTTTGACTATAAACTGTACAATAATGTTGATGTATTTGAACTGGATGATACTGACCCCAGGACCCTGATCAAACACAGGATCAAAAAGGTCATCAACGTAAGAATCCATCTGTCGACCACGAGATCCTAAAAGAAAGATTGTTTCAGGAGTGCCCTTTATTAAGTCAGAGTGAAACCGTCATTTTATTTACTCTACAGGGTGAGCCCGTTCCCAGCCCTCATACTGTAGCTTTCATTCATTTTGATTTCTTTCATCGTCCCTCTGCAAATCTATGCAACAGAACAATGACTCAGAATTGACTGTCTGTTTCCTAGTAATGGTTGGACACTCACCCTGGGATGTGGAAGAGGGTTCATAGGTGTCCCATGGGTATGCTTCAAAGGGTGGGAGACCAGGGGCTTGCATAGAGGGAGCAGGAGGTATAAAGTCATCCAGGTCTGTAGTTGCCATCCTGACAAGAGAAAATTAATCATTAAAGGAATTAAACTGTAATTTGACAGTTTCCTTTGATTTAACTGTCAGCACTGAGCTCTACAGAGGCGTACCTGTCACCTGTGTTGCCAAAGAGGTAATCGGTTTGAGTGGGTGGGTGACCCAGGGGCACATCAGCCTCCACTCCAGCCAAGAGATCCATTACAAAGTCACAGCCTGCCAGGTCGGTCCAACCCTCCCCAGCCAGCAGAGACACAGACCAGCCCCGTGTAGCTTCAGTCAGACCCCTGAGAGAAAGAAATATGACTTTAAAATTATTCTGAACTCTCAGGGATGTAACACTACATAAAGCACCACTCACCATCCACAAACACTGCTTGCTTGTTTATGGCACTCTAATAATTACAACAAGGGTGAATCTAAAAAAAAAAACATATTACATAATTACATATTAAATAATTTTATTTAGTTTTATATATTGCATATAATATATACTGTATATTGCAATTAAAATAGGTTTATTTAATATTTAAATTTTAAATATATAATATATTTAATTGATTTAATTATAATTAACAAAATTATTTAGTATATAACATATAATATTGCATTTTATTGTATAATGATTAAATATATAACAGTTTTACCATACACAAAAATGTAATTAACTAACCCTAACCCTAATGATATAAAAACATTAAACAAGCTTACCAACCCCAAAGGTTTGAACAGTAGTGCACATTCAAATTTCTCAATGATATAATATAATTAAATAATTACTCTTTGTTTTTCTTTAGATTTCGGATTCAAATATGTCCCAAAATAAAACCTAGAAAGAAACTTGTATTGATGCTACTTTATATAAATACATACATGCGTCAATTTTTGTTGCATTATAGCAATGAAAAATCTGCCTAATTTTCATGAACATTTCACAATGCAAAATATTTTCTCAAGGTCTTAAAATATAAAAAAATATGGGAATAAATATAACCTGGGCTGCGTTTCTTGATAACGATTGATCTTAGCGCTTAAGAGCGTTTTCTACGAGTCAATTTACGATCGTTCGTTATTGTTTCACGTGCGTTTCTCAAAAATGCACTTAACGCAATCGCACGTAGCCGTACTTTAAGTGATACTTAGGAGTCGCTATCCGTTTGTCAAGTGCTGAAATGTCACCTTATAGAATGGCTAGTAATTGTAGTACTACATGCTCGTTTACTGAAATGTTAACCTAATGCTGTGTTCCAGACAAAGGCTTTACGATTACTCCAGAGCACTCGTAGATCTACGATGATTTTCAAGTGCTACTTAAGTTACGATGATGATTTTGGGAAACAGATCGTAATATTAAGATCAGTCGTACGATGGTTTTTCGAACTTCTTAGGCTTACGAAGCTTTTGGGAAACGCTGCCCTGGTTGTTTTTTGTGAGACATCTTTATCTATTAGCTACCTGTAGCTAAGAAGCCAAGAGGACAGTTGTTCCCCTGAGGTCCAAGACTCCACTTCCACAGTTAACCTTTCCTCTGAAAAATAAAAACAGTCAACATTAAATAACTGGAATACTTTCAAAATACATTCATACTCCAATATATTTAATATAATTTATTCTCTTAGAATGAACAGTGCAAATGGGAATCCATTATTATTGCTCATTACAGCTCATCAGCTCAGTTTTCTAAGAAAACTACAGTCCTTACCATTGAAAGTGTTAACCTCCACCACCATCTTTCCTTTTCTCTGATTGGCTGTCCACTCGAGTTGACTCAGAGGGTATCGTCTGCAGGCAGGGGAGGGGAGCTGGAGGGATGTGAGGAGCTTGTGCTGGCACAGAGAGCGGTACTCCCCTGGACCTCGGTCAGACACATACCTGACAATCATAATACATATTATTTTTAATTCTGCTGATAAGCAATAGCTGTACAGAAAGACTGACTTGTGTCTGCAATTATTTATCTATTGATCACTATGAAATTTGACTTTCTAACTCCATCACATTTCGTTGGGACAATTTGTCTAGTTTATTTAGCAAATGTTAATTTGTATAATCAGTCACTGGCAATGTTATATCAGTCAATAACATTACACTAATAATCACTTCTTGTTCTAAAGCCCCGCTTTTGCATTTGTAATACTATAACTGAAGACGTACTTAAGGAGGGGTTTCTCCAAGGCTGGAGAGGGTGTGAAGGCACTCAGACAGCAGGCCAGGAGCAACCAGCCCCGCAGGGTACTCTCCTCATTATCCCCGTCCCAAGTGTGGTAAACCAGCTGAGCTAGAATCTCATCTCCGATGCTGGGCTGTGATTGGCTCTTCTCCACGATGTAGTTCCCCAACATCTGCTCTTGCCATCCAGTCAGATCAGAGTCACCTGTGAAACGCAGGATCTAAAGAAGAACGTAGACATGTAAGGATTCATTTAAATTCTGACATTTCATACCCGGTTAAAAGTTTATGTTGATTTTCTGTGGTAAAAGATCCATTTAAAACACTACTGACCAGTTTGTAGATTTCTAGAGCTGTACGGGCATCATCATAGTCCAGAGAAGTCAAAGGCTTCTGAAGCGGGAAACGCTGCGGTTGGCACCATCCATCCTAAAGTGAAAAAGCATATAACTGATATAACAAACGCATGAAAATTGTATATGAATTGGAAGACCACAAAACTAAAAAATGTTCTACTGTATGTTTTTCAAAGTCTACCTTCAGGACTGTGTTGGCATATTGGGAGAAAGGGTGTCTGTTAATGTCTTGGGGCAGTGAGAGGTTGTGGTCTGCTTTGACCTGCGGCAGAGCTACTTCTGTTACTCCTGATCCTTGAGGACGTCCTGAAAGCCATCATTGTAAAATGTGAATATATATATTGCATGATGGTTTACTTATGTTGATGAACACTCATCAGTCCATCAACATAAGCAATACAGTTTTTACCCAAAAGCAATGCAGTTTAATTATATCCATTACTTACGACAAATGAACTTAATTTGAGTGTGAACAAGGTCAGTCAGTCTAAAACTGAATACTTTTATTCAGGATGCATTAAATTAATCCAAATTGACAGTAAGGACATTAATAATGTTACAAAAGATGGGCTGCTTATATCCATCAAAGAATCCAGACTTACTTTAAACTGCAATCATATTTCACAATATTCCTGTTTTTACTGTATTCTTGATCAGCTTATAAAAGCAGCTTTGGTGAGCATTACTGACTTTTTTAAACTGTAGATATATTCAAAATCAGCTGCTGGTGAATTTTAAAAAGTTAGAAAACACCTTTCAGTATCTTGAGTTCAGTATAGTTTCACATGGTCAAACCACTGAGAAATTGTAAACAGGTTGCTATAGGAAAATTGTTAATCAAAGTTACTTTGATGAAAAAAAATCTCCACTGTCTCTTGATTTCATCATTCAATTTTGAGAAGCTAAGAAAAAAGTTCACATTTTACATTTAGGCCCTTATATAAATAAATATGGAAACCATTCTTAAATGAATATGGAAAGTACTTTTTACAGTACTTTCAAGTGTTTGATCAATCACTTTGACTTTTGATTGAGCAAAACTACACTATACCTATACTTCAATTTAAGTATAGTACTTTTTATTGTTAACAAGTATCAAGGATCTCACCTGCTGCACTGCGTAATCGGGCCGACAGTTCTGCCGGGATCTCCAATATTCCCACATCCTTCAGGAAAAACATCTTTTATTCTTTTGTGTTGTTCAAAATAAATTTTTAACTCTGAAGTGACCGGTTAAAGGGGTCATATGATGCAATTTCAATTTTTCCTTTCTCTTTGGAGTGTTACAAGCTCTTGGTGCATAAAGAAGATCTGTAAAGTTGCAAACACTAAAGTCTCAAATCCAAAGAGATATTCTTTATAAAAGTTAAGAGTCAACCACGCCCTACTAAAACGGCTCGTTCTAACACGCCCCCACATGTCTACGTCACGATGTGGGAAGATTTGCATAACGCCACCCAAATGTTCACGCAAAGAAAGAAGGCATAACTTTGCTGTTGCCGCCACTGCCATGTTGTGGAGATGCTGTGTGTTTCGTTGTGAAAGCGAAACTACTTTGTTTGGCCTTCCAAAAGAGGACACGACTAGAAATCAGTAGTTAAGTTCTATTTACAACACTGTTCCAGAACACTTCAACCCAAATATTCAGATGTGTGCAGCGGTATGATTGTTGCCAGAAAGCAGTGTGCAGAAAATAAGGCCACTGATTTTTACTTATTCTAGAAACAAATCTGGGAGTATTCTGGAGTGTTGCCACCAGATACTTTTTGCCTATTCCAGCAAACCACTTTTATACTAAATAAATTAACTTTTATTGGACAAGCAAAAATATAATCATACAAAATATACACAAAGCTGCTTAATCCACTGAATGAGGATCACGTCACAAACCAGTCTTACCACAAGTGCATAACAATTACTTCAAAGTGATTTGACAGCAGAGTACATGACAGCTGAGGAGGACATAGTCCAAACTGTATAAAACAATGATGGCTAAAAAGGAAACAGAACTGAAAGTAGCAGGTTATATAACTTAGTGGATAATTGAAATATAACTCACTACCAGTCAAAGGTTTGGACTGACTTTATGCTTCTGATGAACATAATAATTGCTTAAATGCTTGAAATCAGTTTTTTTAATTGAATTTGTTTACAAAACTAACATTTTTATTCATATTTTTTTAAACAGACGATTTGGACCTCAGAGAAAAGCGGCCAATAAGTGTCCAGCATACATGGGAACAATTTAAAAACATCCCATGATGCTGAGAGAGCATGTGAAGAGTTGTCATCTAGAATATTTTAACATAATTCCCATATATCCATTAGTTTAAAAACTGTAACATTATTCTACAATATTGAAAATAGTAATACTATTGAATGAGTAAGTATATCATTATAAGTATATATTTTTTTAAGTATAACAATTTTGACTGGTAGCATAAAGTGTAAAAAAAAGAACCTTTCAGATGTACATTTAAAATCTTTTTCCAACATATAAGATCACATTAAACAAATCTTAAAGTCTTATATTACTGATATAATCTCGTTCTTATTTTCCGCCCTGAATTCTCTCTGTATCATTAATCTTTCTGTTTGCTATTAGCATGTGTAATATGGATAAATATTAAACACTACCTACCTAGGATGATATTAAAACAAACGTAGCCGTCCCCATGTAAAGTGCTCTTTAACTGATGAAATGAGTTGAAATCCAAACACAAGAGAAGTGGTACTTAGGTGGAACTTTGCAGGAACGAGAGAAAGAAAGTGAGGAAAAAAGAGAGAGAATCTAGGATCAAAGATGAAAGGGCAGGCAGGCGGGTGGAGCTCACCTCACCTAACTCTGACATTTCTTACATGTGTACACACTCTTAAATTGGCCATGACGCACTAGAGATCAAACATGCTACAAGAATCAGAAAATAAACATAATTCTATTAATAGTGGATTTTTTATTTTTGCATAATGTGTAGTTATTTGTTTGTTTGTTTTTTTTACAAGAAATTAATAAAAAATGAATGAAAAGCACCACACTTTTTAATTTAATTTTAAATGAAATTTGAATTATTTTCCTATAGAGGTTGAGTAATAGGAAATGGGTGCCATTCTAAGAGCCATAAACTGAATGTCATAATCTCATAAATTCACTCAGCACACAAACGGGTCCAAAGTCCTTTCAAAGAGTAATATATATTATAAGACTCATAATTTATTATGCAAGTTCACAATCTGCCCATAATGTAAGGAAACAGCAACCAATAAGCAGTGGCTCTTGAGACACATATGACTAACTTGGAAATGTATTTGATTGCATTAGATAATAAAATATAAAACCGGATGACATTAATTAATTTAATGAGTCATATAATAATCCATTATTTAGAATGGGAGGAGTGAGGCTGGAATCGTATGAACTGTCACATATTAATAAAGTAGTTTTGGTTGCCTAGCAGTGGACCATATCGGTAAACAGCTGATATAGTGAAGTGTGTGCATTTGTATAAAGACCAAGCCAAGAAGAAGCCACAGACACATTGGGTAGAAGGATGGGAAGAGCTAGAGACAGATAGAGGGAGAGATAAAAGCTCTCACCTTCCAATGACGTTTCTTGATGGTGTTTCTGGTGATCATCATAGCTGCCCAAAACTGAGTGAAGGACTGCTTCAATTTCTTGTAGTACTTCCTGTAACAGAAAGAGGACGCCACAGCTTCACATTCAGAATCACATTAGGCCCTCTTCTGTTTTTATCAAATATGAAATCGCTTCACAAATACCGGGCCTGGTGGCCCCTGATGTGGGACTGGATGACGATAGCCTTCTGTTTAAAGAAACGAAAGTTTCTTCGGCAGATGAAGCCGCGAATGTTCCTCTGGATGGTGACTGCCGCCCATGTTTGAGTGCTGCTCCATTTCTCCTCCACCCGCTGGTACAGACTCTCCTTCATAAACACCTGTGTGTGTTCACATTAAAGGAAATGGGTGAGATCTTTAGAGTTAATGTAGTAAATGAACGAGTCAGAATAACCCAGGCTGAGGTAAAGAGTTATGTTACTGTACTTTAGTGAGTCCTAGTTGGTAATGGCCTTCCTCTGCTCCTATAGTCTCCAGTAAAGTCACTACTTGCTCTTTACAAGACTGGTGTGCAGGTCTCTGGGCCAATAATACACCATATCTGAAATTAGACATAAACAGTGATAGAAAAATGTAGTTGAAACTCACAGATAAAGATAGTGGAGATTTTATGGAGGAAGAGACAGTGTAGCCTTGCATGATTTCTTACTCAATTCTGATTGATGTACCTATACTCGGGGTTCACACACATTTTGACAAATGGAATTACATGAATTTTCCACGAATTTTAAAGATTTTACACCTTGGAAAATAAATAAATGATATAATAATTATAATTATACACATATATAATAAAACAATAGGACAATAAAAAAATATAAATGTTATTTTCAGGCATGGAATAAATATAATTACAAACACACACAAGTATGATAACAACGTATGATTGTTAAACCCCTAATAATGTATTTGATGTCCTAGATTCTGCCATATTGTATTACCTCTCCATGAACAGAGCGAAAGGGATGCGAATTGGAAATCCTTCTTTTCGTATGTGAATGGTCTCCAGTATCCCTCCATGCCTTAGCTGTGTGGTTATGTAGTCTACATCAAATATGCCTGGAAGCTGAAACCACACAAAAACACCAAACTGATGTCCACCAATCCAGCATTTGTGCTTGCTTACTCTAAACATAATGGTTCACAAACAGAGAGATTAGATGTTAATTACATACAGTGTCAGCTGAAATTACCTTAACATAGTTTGGCTTAAAGCATCGTATAAATGTAGTTTTACACCTAAAAAAAACAGAGAATAAATAGACATTAAATTATCTACACATATTCTCACATTGGACGACTACATAAGCCAAATGGCAATACCAAATACCCTGTGTATAAAATACATAGCAGTCCATTTATACAAAAAATAGCAGAAGAAATATTTGTGACATCTGTTGACCTCTCCAAACGAGTGGTGAGCTCTATAAGTGACTGCTGGAAATGAGCAGCTACAGTTGACATCTGGTTCCGGTAACCTCTTGCTCTTCCCAGCTCTTTCTGTTGGACGTAACGCTCTTGAACCTTCCGGAAGAGACCCGACACTATCTGCGCAGACAAGAAAACGCACTCCAATTACTTGTTACAGGTTTTTGTTTCCAAACATTGGTCCTTTAAAACTTAATGAGACCTAAAGCTTGCATAAATGATATGGGTTGTTCTTAACTCTTTTGTTTTGTCTGGGTGTGTTGACAGTCTCATGAATATATAATAGAGGACACGTTATTGTATTTCTTTGCAATCTTGACACATCACAAATCACTGAAGACAGTGTGAAGCGAGCTTCCATTAATACAACTTAGATTAATTTACCTGTAAACGACTGCGGGCAAAAAGCTCTAATACTTCTGGGCGAAACTGGTCATGATTTTTATTTAGAAAGTTGTGCACCTGGTGAGCAGGGAGAAAAAAAAAATCTTAGCCAAAATTTTGCCAAAAAAGTATTTTAGTCATGGAAATCAAAAGATTCTTGGGAAAACTATCAGAACAATCATGCTGCATGAATAAAACATTTTGTGAATGCTCAGATCAGGCTTGCCTGGTACGTGACAGCCCCTGCATAGTGATATATTGTGAACACTGGCAGAGGAATTTTGGGCTTGGTGTAGTAGGGACTGTTGCCATGGTGATAGTGACATTTCTGCAAGAACGTGTGGTCTGTAGCCTGGGACAAAAAAGAGGGAGAGAGCCAAAGAAAAGAGAAAGGCAAAAAAAAGGCAAAAGCGGCCCATAAATCCATTGTAGTATACATAATTTACATTTGAATCAACACTAGGCCATTTTGGTGGAAATTCAAGTTTTATGATATTTAAACATCATATTAGAAACATATACGTAGAAAAATAAACTTCTAAATCCATCGGTGTAGTATAAGATTACTCAAATGAATATTGACTTTAAAGGGGTCATATGATGCTATTTTAAAGATCATTATTTTGTGTATTTGGTGTAACGGAATATGTTGACATGCTTTAATGTTCAAAAAACACATTATTTTTCAAATACTGTACATTATTGTAGGTCCTCTATGCCCCGTCTCTCTCAAACACATAGTTTTCAACAAAGCCCCCTCCTTTGACAAGCGCAGTCTGCTTCTTTTGTTTTGTGATTTTGTATATTTTTGTATACTTGTTGCTAATCCTAATAAAGGCAGCATCTTGGCAATGGCATCTCTGAATCAAGAGCAATCTGTCAGTATTCATCAGCTACTTTAGGGGTCAATGCATATAATACATTAATTAATCTAATAATTTCAGTAACATTTCATTGTCTAACCTGGATTCAATGGCACTTTCCACGGATAGAGGGCAGTAGATCCTATCATAAGTTGTTTCCTGTGGAAAAAATAACTCTGTGTTCTTAGGAGATACTTCTGTTGTGTTAAAAGTAATATTCTGGGTTGAATATATATTGTGGCAGAAATGTACAAAAGCACTACAGTTCAAAATTTTGAGGTTGGTAAGATTTTTTCATGGTTTTGAAAGAAGTCTCTTATGCTCACCAAAAATGCATTTATTTCTTCAAAAATACAGTAAAACAGTAATATTGTGATTTTTTTTACAGTTTAAAATATCTTTTCTGTTATAATATTTTATATTATTTATTCCTGTGATGCCAAAGAATTTTTTTATTCTTGTAATGCCAAAAAGAATTTTCAGCGTCAAATGATTTGTGCTCCAGAAACATTTCTTATTATCAATGTTTAAGATATACTGAACCCAAAATATTCATTTAGTTCCGAGATCTTGGGAAGAAATTAACATGTATTTGAGTGAGAGTGTGTACGAGTTGCTCACAGTCACCCGGTGTGTGATGACCGTCTGTAAGGCCTCGGCGGACACCTGCAAGAGGTTTCCCACTCTCCGAGCTTCGGCTTCACTAAAAATACGGGCGACCTCAAACGATTCACTCTAATTTTTGAGGGGACAAAAATGAACATAGTTTGGCTTAAAGACTCAGTTTTCATATACACATTTTAAGGATCCTAAAAGCTAAAACTGTCCTTAAAAGTGGTAATCCAGGCATCCACACCTCATAGGAGCTGAAGCAAATGTTGCCCAGCTGCAGGATCGATGACAGAATGGCCCAAATGGTTGCAAGTTGATCAGCATGTAAACCAATAGTCTCCAGGCAGTGGACCAAAAGCAGGAAGTCTTGCTTGTCATGCTTCCCTTGTAGGTCACAAGCCCTGCCCTTAAAAGCATTTAAAAGATAAATATTAGAAATATTAGACAAATATCATAAACTAATGGGGCTCTTCTTTTACCTGGTTGAGGTAGAAGTACGTTTCAGCTCCTTGCAGGTAAAGATCCTGCTTGTCCCACTCATTCATCCCGGCCAACAGTTCATAAAACACATGGTAGTTTCTCTCCTCCTTAGCCTAAAGGAACACAGTTTCAGTCAATTCCTTGCAGGTGTACTAAGCTGCAAGGCAAGTTAATGAATAAACATCTAACCTGGAAGACGATTCTTGATTTCTCAAGGAGATATTTTGACAAAGACGTCCCAACAACAACACCACTGAAAAAATAAAGGGAGATCATATCATGCTCATTTAATGCTCTCTGCCCCTTAAATCAAACAGACAGCATGCAGTACACTTACTGGCGTATGTGGATGTGTAGGTACTTTCCAAATCGGCTGGAGTTGTTGTTCAGTATGGTCTTTGCATTACCAAAGCTCTCAAGAACTGGTAAAACATCCATTGGCTAATGAGAGGGAGATTATCTTTTTGAGTTAATATCTTAAGAGAGCAAAACATAATTTTCCATATATCTCGATAAATTGATTTACAGTACCTGGCGTAATTTATCATTTCTGCCCTGATACATAGAACTCAGGTAATGGACAACGAGCTTTGCAGCCTCTGTCTTGCCTGATCCACTTTGTCCACTGTTGACACATTCACATTCATTCAAATGTATAATATACAGTAGGAATATGTATATACATATATGTAATGAATAATGAAAAGTCATTACATTATGTATGCATATGTATGTGTACCATACGTCTAAATAAATATGAAAATGTGTAGATGTATGTGTATGCACACTGTCAGCTAAAATTTTTACCTTTAAGGGTACAACAGCTTGTCATTGGGGGAGTACCCACAAAGGGACACCATTGTACCTTTTCTTGCCCCTAAAGGGTGCATATTAGTACTTTAGAGTAGTAATACAGTATGTACACTTAAGGTAGTAACATGTACTCTATGACTATTACAAACCCTTTAGGGGTAAAGACGTTTCAAAGGTGTCCCTTTGAGGCTACTGCCCCAGTGACAAGCTGTTGTGTCCCTCCTAAAGGTACAATTTTTGCAAATTTTTTTCTGAGAGTGTGTGCATATGTAAATGTATATACATATTAATCATACCCATAATCATCCCCACCTTATGATGATGCAGTGCTCCTGGGTGGTATTCTGAGATTGGCAAAAGGCAGCATCTGCTATGGCATATACATGACTACAGGGACAATAAAAAAATTGTCTTTCAATATGACTGTTAAACTCTTCTCAAATAAAAAGCAAAAAAAAAAAACGTTTTCTGAGAGTGTGTGCATATGTAAATGTATATACATATTAATCATACTCATAATCATCCCCACCTTATGATGATGCAGTGCTCCTGGGTGGTATTCTGAGATTGGCAAAAGGCAGCATCTGCTATGGCATATACATGACTACAGGGACAATAAAAAAAATTCTTTCAATATGACTGTTAAACTCTTCTCAAATAAAAAGCAAAAAAAAAAAACAATCTACAGCCAAACACTGCTTGAATCGTCATAGGTGAAAGCACTCACGGTGGATTACTGTGCTTTTCTTTACCCTGGTACTGCTCTCTCAGATCCTCAGTGTAGATGCTGAGAGGCTTGAAGGGGTTGATGGACAGCAGCATATCACCAATATATGTCTGTTGGTTTTAATAAATTGTTTTAATAAAGTTAAAAAGACAACTGAACGTGAAAAAGAACACATTTGATTTTCTGGAAAAGGTTATGCGTACATAAATTGAATCCCGATGAAACCGCTTCTTCAAATTCAGCAGAACAGAACTCTCACACACCTCTCTGGAATAGGATGTGCAGTTTGGTTAAAGTTTTCATGTTTTGAAACAATTCAAACAAACTTAACACGCTATCTGATGTGCAAATTAATGTTTTGTTTATATAATTCACTTTTTACTAGTGTAGCTTTTCTTGCTTAGAAAGTCTACACAAGCAAGTGTACTTCAGCTGTTTGCTGCGATGACTCACTCCAGCTGTGCCAAATCTTCCACCTCGTCCACCTCCACAGCTTGGCTGCTTCCTGGCATCATTACCTGAGACACAAAGTAAAGGAAATAGAGCAGAGCTGTCACTGAAACCCCCCAGTGGGCAGACATGTGAATAACACCTACACTATTTCCCAGCTAGGACTTCCTGTTTTGAATCAAACAACACTGTAGATGTCAATTAGGTTATTTGCATAATTACAAAAGAGGACAACGGCAATAATTGTGTAAATTATTCTGCATATGTCATACCTGTGTGCTGTTAAGTCTCTCCTCTAGCATATTTTGGGTCGGATCTTCAGATTCCCATGGGCCCCTGCCATTATGGACTTGAATGATTTGGGCATGTTCATCATCTTGATACACTGTCCATTTAGTAAGCTTTTCCACCGTTTGATGGGGCAGGAGGTTTTCCGAACGTAGCCAGTCTTGAGGATCACCACACATTTGTTGAGTCTGAGCCCAGTGTTGCTCCATAACGGAGGGCAAAAGACCCTCACCCATCAGTTCTGCCACTTCTCTGTCTGCATCCTCCTCATAAGAAGGTTGCATCACTCCATCCCTCCATGTCTCGGCTTCTGCTGATACATCTGAATTCCTTAGATTCCTCTCCACTTCTTTGCTCTGTCCCGTACTTATACCATTAAGCAAAGGTTTAGACATAGACAACTTGGTGATGTTTACTTGCGATCCCCCAAGTTTTCCCTTGGCGACTTGTAGTATACTTGTGCCATCTTTGATGACTGATATTGACTCTTTTTTGTCTGCTTTGACCTCAGGCTGCCCCTCAATCACTTGAGAGTTTGGGCTGCCATTCTTATCACTTTTATTCTCCTGAGCATTTTTCTTAATGGACTTTAGTAGGCTAAGGTCTGGCTTGACTGGAAGAACCAGACGAGCACCAGGCTTTGGTGGTTTACGCTCTGTTGTGCCTGTGCTGGTGCTAGTAGATGGAATGGTGGCTTCATTAACCTTGCCGATTTTGTTCATTCTTGGGAACACAATCGCATATTTAGCATCTCCTGAGTTGGCCTTTTCTTCTACGTCTTGCGGAGAGGAACAAGGTTCATCAGAAGAGTCACCCTGGAGATCAGCAGTAGTTTCTTCATCTGTCTTTTCCTTTGAGGTTGATACTTCCTTCTTTGATTTTCCACCACTTGCCATTTTCATAACCATCTTGTGTCGGCTAAGACTCTTCTTTGACTTGGTGCTGCTACTCCTCTTCTTAAGTACCAAGGCAGGGAGCCATTTTGAGATCCCAATCGCTTGGGTGACCGCTGATAATTTTCTCCGAACATGGATGCTCTTTGGCATCTTCTTTTGAATCCATCCTGAGACACGCCGCAATGTCGTCATGCCTCTTTTCCGGGCTAATAAACGCTCTGTTGACTTTGAGGGTATTAATTCTTCAGGCTCAGGCTCAGTTGTGTCTGCCACTATTTTCTCACACGGATCTTGATTTGGCTCTTCGACAGCATCTTTGGTGTCTTTTGGAGGTTGCTCTTTGGCGTTCTTGCTTTTATCATCTTTTCCTTTGCCTTTCATCGAAAACAGCATACGAGACTGTCTGTTCAACAAACCTTTGGGGCCTTTTGTTGGGGTTGCTGCCTGATCTTCCTCTGTCTTGCTCATTGCCTTTGTTTTACTTGCCAACTGTAGAATTTGAGACTTACCTTTAGTGGCGCCACCTTTGGAGAGAGCCATTCCTTTAATATGGACTCCTTTTGAGGGCACAGAATCATCTTTAGGCTCCTCTCCTCTAGAAGGCCCCTTCTTTTGTAGTATCTTAGATTTTAACATCTTTTTCTGGCCCTTGAGGTGAACTGTTAGGTTTAGCGGTCCTGGTTTCTTTGACGAATGGGCTGTCTCTCCCTGTGTGCTCTCTTGCCCTGTATCGTTTAGTACTCCCTCAGAGTCTACTTCTTCTGCACTGCTAACGGGTTCCTTCTCTTCACTGGTTCTGCTTTCCTCTCTCTCACTTTTCTTCTCTTCTTCTTCCTCCCCTTCTGTTTTTTTGCCTACATCCTCTTCTTCCTCCACTTCTGTTTTTTTGCCTACATCCGACAGTTCTTCTTCATCACTTAATACACTTGCATCTGTCTCAGCGGTGTTCTCCACGCAATCTGACCCCTCCTTCTTATCATCCTTTCCTTCTTCATCACTCTCTTGTTCTGAGCTCTCTGCTTTCTCGCTCTCCGACTCGTCCTCTTCTGTATCTACTACTTTAGCACCTCTCTTTCTTGCAACTTTTGCAGGAGTTTTGGCTGGATTTTTTTTCTGGTCAGGTTTTGATTTGACAGCTTTCCCAGCTCTCCCTCTACCTGTAATGCCATTGGTCACCTTAGCAGGTAAGGCTTTGTCATTTTGCTTTCTTGCTTTGGCTATTTGCCTAGAGGTCTCTATCTCTTCCTCTTGAGGTTCCTCGGATTGGTCACTCTTGCCAGTTTTCTTCTCCTCATCTTTTTTGTTCTTCCCTTTCCCAGCTATTTCTTCCTTCTTTACAAATTTACCACCTTTTCCTTTCCCACTTTCATTATTATTTGAGAGTATTTGAGATTCAGTCTTTCCTCCTTTTTGGGGGGGAACTGGTTCTTTTTTGTCTGTCTTTCCTGTCACTGCTTTCTGCTTCCCTCCTCTAGCCCTGGAAGGGGATTTGGCTGGAGGCATGGTTTTAAGTCAAAGTAACCTCACAGGTCCTGTTTCTGAATTTTTTCTCCAATGTCAGAACATTTCTTTGATGACCTAAGAATAATAAAACATTTTCAAAGATTAAAAGACCTCAAAAACATGTCTCTGGAAATTATTCAAACCTTAATGTCAATAAAAATGCTAATCCTTCTGTCTGCAAAACTTTCACAAATTTTTAACCTTTGTGCAGGTCTAGTGCAACCTAAACTACCATGGGTAGAGATCATATGTCACGTCTTTCAACTAAAGTGCAAGGTGTACCTGACCTAATGGTCACCATTAGGACTGGGTTTCAGGCATTTAGCTCATCACTCTCAATAATGCCAGTTGGATCAGAGATGGGACTTTAGATACAGACAGATCAAGCACCATTAAATTTGTGCCATAAGAGGTTTAACATAATACACACAAGTACTCAAATACCATCTAAGTTCAACATGTTCCTTTTTCAGAACAAATTCAAACATATTTACAAAAAAATTAATGCAGTCTTGCATTAGTGTAACACCGAATAACTCACCCGTCTTCTCAGGTTCATATGAAGCATTGAGGAGGTCTCGAGAGTATTTCTGCTAGTCCCAATCACTCCATTGATTAATCCTGTGACCAGACTCAAACACCTACACAGTCTCTCTGACATAAACACACATACACACAAGCATGCAAAAACATTCTAGGGCTCTAGTGAATAATTTATTTGACGGCACACCATATAGTTATGCACCCATTCTTATGGGCAGCTGCTGAACAGACGGTGGAAAGGTGAGAGGCTTCACTGCAGGGGTGACAAAAGGTGTTGATACGTGAGAGTAGGAGAAAGATACTGACAGATGCTCACATGCTTACAAAGAAATTCCAGAAGACATTCCTTCCACAACTTTTTTAAAGAAAAGTCTGTTATTGTTAAAACATAAAAAAAACTTTTATAGTTATTAAATTGGTCAGCATGTAATTATTTTTAGGTAGTTATCATTATTAAATATTTAAGTTTTAAATAAAATAAAATTACTAAACAGTCGTGGTCAAATTTTTTTTTTCAAATATGTTAAAAAACAAAAATCAGGCCACAAAAAATAAATGTGGTAATCTTTTCTTTTCTTTTTTGCCCTGTCCTTAAATCATTTTGGTCTTTGTTACTAATATTGTTGTCACAATAGGGAACTATATACACAACTATTATTACCTGACAGTTGTCTTTAATCATTTGAATCTCATACATATTCAGAAGCTACTACTAGACCATGCTATTATAAAAACTCTGTTGTTATTTATTTTATTTTATTTATTTTTACATTCTCTTGCTTGTGCTGTGTGACACAATTGTGGAAACGGCTATTCTCTAGGATTCTTTAAGAGATGGTGTCCAATATCAGGCAAACATTTGAGCTACTGCGATTATAGGGAACAAAGCATCTCTCAATAATAGATGATCAAAACTCTTGGCTGAGTGTGTATGACAGCTGATCTGACCAGAGGGAGATTTCTTTTCAAATGTTTTCAAAGGCTACAACCCTCTTATAAGCAGCCACAAATTGACTAGACAGACATAGTTATGGTTCACTTAAAAAAAAAAAATTAAATAACGAGTCATGTCATGAGTTATGTTCACATGTTCATAATTCTTTTGCCCCTTCACACTTGAAAAAATATTAATTCAATAACAAAATAAAATAATTTGAATGAACGTGAACACGAACCAACTTAATCACTGATATCATTTTTATACCAAAAAATTTATTTAATGTTTAATTATTAATGTATACACAGTGTTTTATTATTCTTTATTGTTTACAATAATTGCCCAATATGCCAAGTAATATTTAGGCCCATTTCAAACTTATCATGCAATCGGAAACATAAAAACAAAGTCAGCATATTGGGCAATTATTGTAATGCATATGGCTGCACATTACATTCTCATTTTATTCATATCAGTA